CGGCCAAGGATTATCTGTGGGAAAAAGCTGCGCATACGCGACCGGCGGTTGACGTACTGCAACGTTTTGTGCGTACCTATTGTTGTATTTGTTGTAGTTATCGGCGTAAAAAATCGATTGGCATAGCGCGCACCGATACAGCGGCCGTGGTAGCGGCTGGTGTGATAAAAGCGGAAGCGGACAACATGTGCGAACCGATGGATGGTATTGTGACAATAAAACAGAATAACAATGTGAGTGTCGATAGCGCGAAACAGCCGCTCGAGGCGTCGCAAATACTCGCTTACACGGAGCAAACGGATATTGAACAACTGATTTGCAGCGGTGCTGAGCAGCAGAGCAATAGCACGCCGGTGTTATCGGTGCCGGGCATTTCAAATGAGGACTGCACGTAAGTAGTGCGAGCGTTGAGCGTGTGGGCGGTCAGTCAGAAAGCGGTACTGGGTGCAAATACTAAGGAAATTTTTTGGGTTTACACTTGTAGAAGAGCTTTTTGAGACAGTCGTGGGTTTAGACTGAGAAAAGTGATTACAATTTTTAGACGAATTTCACTCTCACTTCACTTTAAAGTTTCCACGAAAATTTGTAAAAATATATAAATAATAATATATAAGTACATAGGTATGTGAAAGTCAGTATGAGAGAACTCGTAAACATTGCCAAAAGTAGTATGCTTAATCACCCTTGCGTGGCTTAATCACTCGTTACATTTAATCACGGCAACGCTTTGCCGAGACTAAGTCAAATATAGAACTAGTAAATAGAACTATATATATGTGTGAAGTCAGTGCGTACAATGTATACCCAAAATTAGATTTTTACGATTGTTTGCTTGAGTGTTGTAAATACGAAGCATATTAAACAATAAAACATGTGGTCAGTCGTAAACAGTAAAAGCAAGAGCGCGCATAAATGTATACTACAAGCTTATGTTAGTATACATTTGTGCGCTACTCTATAGTGCGACACTAAATTAGTCAGTAACGTAGAAGTTCACAACTAGAGTTTTCTGTGTAAAAGAACTAGTCCGAAAAGCATGTGACTGTTCCACTTTTTTTAGCAGTCAGTTCAGAAAATGAAGTCTTCAAAATTTAGAAAGTAAATTTTTGCCTAAACATATGAATTGTACTAAACAGTTATGGGTGCGTTTGGAACTAGTATGAAAGTAGTACATTTATGATCAAAACCTATATCTAACAACCCAAAATCTGTCAATTGAAATCACTTTTCTACACTTCCCCCTATGACACACTTTAAAAACAGAATCTATTGTAGATTTTAGACATAATTCGAAATACATTTTTTTAGTAAATTATAATGAAAAATTATAACAAAATTAAAACTATTATACCTAACAAAATTATCCAGCAATCCCTCGCAGCAAAAGCGTTTCTCAACTTTCCAATTTTTATTTAATAACTTGTTTTTTTCTAAAAAAAAAGGCTTACTCCTTTTCTGTAACTCATTTTCTGTAAAAAGCATTTAATTGCTCTCACTAATTGTAAAAGCATTTCCCGCTCCAACCTCACAAAATTTCATTTAAAAATAGTTCACTCAAAAATTACCTTTAACATTTTGCATTCGAAACATTAGTGACACACATGTTTTCAATGCTGACTTTACTTTTTCGAATAACTTAACGCCTTAATATGGTGAAATAGTTATAAATGAGTAATTACATATTTATGCAGATATGTTTGTATGTCACACTTAACCCAAAAACGCACACTGTAACGGAAAAAGTACCTTTTGACCTCATTCGAAAACATGAATGACTTCAGCTGGTTTCCGAAAACACAAATCACAACAAACACGCATATTTGTTGGTATATACAAAGTAACGGGAAGTTCTAGCAAAATAAAATAAAATAACTGGAACTTGAGTACTTGTGACTAGCATTATTTTCGAATTTAATTCTTACAAAAAAAATTGAAAATAGTACTAAAAATATTTTAAATTGGTACTAAAAAACTGTTGAAGAGGACGAAAAAATTTTAAAATAACTACTAAAAAAAATTTTAATTAGTACTAAAAAATTTTAAGTAGTACTAAGAAAAACTCCAAACAGTACTAAAGCTAGCACTATTTTCGAATTTCATTATTAAAACAAAAATTACTAAATTACTAAATTACTACTTATTAAAAAAAGTATTACTAAAAAAAAATTAAATAGTACTCAAAAAACTCTAAAAAGTGCGAATGAAACTTAAAGTAATACCAAAAAAAAGTTTAAATAGTACTATGAGTTGTAAATAGTATTAAAAATTTAGTACTAAAAAAATTAAAAATAGTACTAAAAATTTTAAAACTAAAAAATTTAAAACAATACTAAAAAATCTAGTACTAAAAAATTTAAAACAGTATTAAATAACTTAAAATAGTACAATACAAAAAATGTTGTACTAAAATTTTAAAATAGTACTAAAAATTGTAATAAGGTACTAAAAATGTTGTACTAAAATTTTTAAATAATATTAAAATAATTTTGCAAAAAATTAAAGTTTCCAGTAAACGGAAGTTCAAACAGTCACTTAACTATACCACCTCATCAATAATGACGCGGACGGACAAAAAAAAAGCTACATTTGCAAAATCTAGAAAAAAACTGTATTTTAATAGAAAAGTGTAGTGTGTTAATGTAAATTAATGACTCAAGTTATAATTAATTGCATTCAAAAGAAAAGGAGTTGGCGGCAGACATTGTATAAGCGCCTGAAAGTATGCAATAAAATAAATTACGCACTTCGCTTCAAGAAAAAAGTGTAAAGGCAAATACAAGTGATTCGATGATGCGGCAAAAACGGACTGTGCGTGGCTTCGCAATAAGTAAAGTGTTATGTCATTAAAGTGAATGATTGAGTCAATTTCAAATTTAGCAAGCGCATAGAGGAATGAGATGTTTTTTCGACTTCTGCCGACAGGAGTTTTACTTTCTTTTAGATGTTTTGCCATAATATAAGTTAAGAGTGTGTTAGTTTCGGCCAATATAACATATGTACGAGTATATAGACTCGCTTTAGCTGTTTAGTGGGAGAGACTAAGAATTAGAATTGAATACGCTTAGAACCCTTAAAGAGGGGGTTTGCCACAATGATTGAATTTACCATTTAGGCGACGCTTACGCATTTTAAATAAGAACAGCTAAAAGACAACAAAACAACACAAAAAAATTACTGGTAATCCTTTGGCGCAATTGCTACTAATACGCGGTAGTAACTGTCAAAGTAAGCAATTTAGCGCTAACGACTTTTATTAAACAATTGTCAACAACTCAAACAAAAGCACACACACAGGCGAACAAAGCAATTGAGACAATCTTTTACAGTGGCAAATTGCTGCTGATACTGTCAGCGTCAATATGCGAAGGCGTAAAAGTGGGAGGGGGGTTTGAGTTTAAATTGAGAAATTATATTTTTACTTTTTCTCTTGCGTTTATTTCTGAACTGAAAATTATATTTATTAATTTTTCAAATGCATCAAGTTCAGTGAACTTTGCGCCAATGGGTGGAGACTACGGTTATTTGTATATACATATGTACATATACATATACATGTTAATACGTTATAAAATTAAAAATAAATTAAAAAGTGGATATGCGGGGACGCTCACATGCAAGAACATATCATAAATATGCATGTATGCTTTAGAGTGCCCAGATGTGCGTGCCGCAATGAGCTGGAATTAATTATAGATATACATATATACCCATATATTGATTATGCATTTATAACAAAAATACATTCTGTTTAAAATGTATATGTACATGAGTACACATTTGAATGTAAGATTTTCGAAATAAGTTCGAAAAATCTTTATCAGCTTTCGAGATATTGACGAAGTAACGGTTTTTGATAAAAAAAAAAAAATTGTAACAATGAAATTTGATTAGAATATATACATATGTACATAAGTGCGAAAATTTTCATTTTTTATGTAATGTTTTCGAAATGAGTTTGAAAAATTTTAGAAGTTGACTTCAGCCTTGGGTATCTCGGCCACGGTATTTGATCAAAAATAAATACATTGGATAACAATATTCGAAATTTCGATTAGATTAGAATATATACATATGTACATGAATGCGAAAATTTAAATTTTTTATGTAATGTTTTCGAGAAGAGTCCGAAAAATTTTAGAAGTTGACTTCAGCTTTCGTCAAACCTACCAAATAACGGTTTTGATAAAAAAAACTGTTTAAAATTTCGATTTGATTAAATGCATGCATAAATCCAAAAACTTATACACTTCTATGTAATATTTTCGAGTTCGAAAAATCTTACAAGGTGATTTTAGCTTTCGATTTATCCGGCAAATAACGGTTTTTGATTAAAAAAAAAACATTTGACAAAAATATTTGAAATTTCGAAATTTCGAAGAACTACTAATGCAGTATACATAAAACCATAAAATTAAATTGAAGTCTTCTTATATTTAGATACAAATGATTAAGTTAATTTTTAGAAAAAATTTTGGAATAAATATCAAAAATTAAAAAAAACAAAATTATGACAATTAATATATTAAAAAAAAATTATAAGAAAAGCAAAACAAAAATGCTGTTAGCTCGAAAACGACAAGCGAAAAGTCAAATATTCGATTTTCCGATTTAACAGCAATTTTCCAAACTAATTGGATACTTCATTTATAGTTTCTATTTAATTCTTATTAGAAATTTATTATTATTAATTAAAAATTCTGTTTGTAATGCTAAAAGTTTAAGTTTCTTCCTAACACTTAAAAGTTACGCCAATGAGTTAAATTGAAACCCAACACTTACCTCTCCGATAACGCTCAGTTGTGATTTGCTTTCCTGGCAACAACAGTCATTGAATATTTTCTTGAGAAGAATATTAAATTTTTGATGATATTTTTGAATAAACGGCAAAAAGCTGCCACACAAATATAGACTTAGAGTTAAGATAAATACGCATTCGTCCGCGACTTTGCTTAAGACACTTCCAATCGAACACATTAATAATTATAATCGCTTCTTTACAGCAACAGGCCTGGGCCATTGGATGGAGAAGCGGCTGTGATTGCGGCGACTGCAATTGCGGACATGCAACAACAGCAAAGTAACGGATCGAAACAAGCCACACCAGTTTCGCATAAATCAGTAACATATTCCCTGAAGTCAACTGCTTCAGCGCAATCAGCTGATATTCAAAACAACACAAACGGTACATACGAAGAGCAGCGACGCGACAACAACGTCACGCCAAATCCCAATACGGATAAGGAGGATACAACTGATAACAGTTCAACCATACAAATGGGTGCCTTGCAAGACGCCTGTAGTGATAATGAAACGAGCAGTCCGACACCAGTGAAATGGCGTAGCGATCACGATGTTTTGCAATTGGATGATGTGCAAGATATAAGCAATGCCAGTGCGGCAGCGAGCAGTACACCGTTAAAGAAGAATGGCAGCTTGGCAAGCTTACATAGCAAAAGCGAGAGCATTAAAACACAAATCGGCGATACGCCGCCAACGCTCTCTCGCACACAATCTGCGAAGTCCTTATTAATTGAGGAAGACATCGAAGATAACAGCAGTTTTGTGGTGATGGATGAGCGGCATAGCGAACGGCAAGGTAGCGGCCTACGCGAGCAGACGCGTGTAGCAAGTGCCAGCAGTAAAGAATATGCGCCGCATGCGTATGTAGATGAGACGGACCATTTGTGTAGCAAAAATGTCCATGTACCAACACAACCGCAAACACCGGTGCGCTCGCGGCCACAGTCTCGTTCGCGTTCACCCACCATCGCTGAGATTAAAATGCTCTCGCGACGCAATTCGATGATCAAGTCTATGGAATCGCTGTACGAACGCCCACCATCAAAGCCGGAGCTCATATTCGATCAGACCAGCACCGAGTCGTGCTCTGCGACCAGCTCACAGCTCAATACAACCATACCAATTAAACCGCAACATACACCGTTAAAGCAAAAGGCGAAAACTTCACATTTTCTGAAAAATCACAGACGAGTTTCACCGGTAAAACAAGCAATTAAAATGCCACAAGCTGAACTCTATCCACCAACATTGCAACGTTTCGACAAGCCGCGCGACGCTTTACTTAAAACCTTCGATCAACTGGACTCCAGTAATTGGGAGATCATTGTGCTGGGCCTCAAATCAATGGTGCGCTTAATGCGCTATCACGCGGAACAATTGGATAATCAAATGCATATGGTATGCATACAATTAACGCGTTCGGTACGTAATTTACGTTCGCAAGTATCACGTGCCGCATGTCAGGCCACCAACGAACTCTTCACACTCAAATCGAAATGTCTGGAACAGGAGTGTGATGATTTGGTCTGTGCACTGCTACATCGTACCGCTGATACAAATCGTTTTCTGCGCGCCGACGCGACACGTGCCCTAGAATCAATGTGCGATAACTTAACACCACCAAAAATCTTAAATATACTCACCACAAAGGGTGCGCTGCATCAGAATGCATTGGTGCGCACAACTGCGGCAAAACTTTTACATCGGCTGGTTGAGCGTCTGGGCAGCGATAAGGTTTACGCGATGTCACGTGAAAATCGTGACAAATTTTTTGTGACGAGCGCAAATTTACTGCTTGAGGGTAGTCTGGAAACGCGCAGCTATGCTAAATCAATATTTAGACTGCTCTCCAATCACCCCAACTACAATCGTTTACTTATTGAGGTGATTCCGGCGCGTACATATCGCAATGTGGAAAAAACGCTGAAAAGTATACATTAAAAACTGTTTCCGACTACAAATAAATTATAAAAATATTTACTTAGTAAATGCAACGATATTTGTACATAAAAGTATATTTAATGTGATTCACTCGAATGTTTTTAAATACGAATTGCTCTGTCACAATAGGGTAGTTATATTTTAATAAAATTATAATTACACATTTATTACTAATATTATTATTTTTTATACCTTGAATAGGATATATTAAGTTTGTAATACCCAGAAAGAAACGTTGATCGATTTAACCATGTTCGTCTGTCTGTTTATACGCGAGCTAGACCCTCAGTTTTTGAGGTATCGTTTTGATATTTTGCACACGACATTTTCTTTCAAAAAAACCGCTAATTTGTCGGAACCGTCGATATCGGACCACTATAGCATACAGCTGTCATACAAACTGCTGGATGCAAATATAGTCTATGTATGAAAAACATTTTTATCTACACGAAATTTGGCATGGATAATTTTTCAAGGCAACGGTACAATCTCCGAAGAAATTGTTAAGATCGGACTATTATAGCATATAGCTGCTATACAAATTGATCGATGCAAATCCAGCCCATGTATGAAAAACATTTTTATTTGACGAGATATCTTCTTGAAATTTTGCACAGATTATTGTACAAGTCAACGGTATAATTTTCGAAGAAATTATTCAGATCAGACTACTATTGCATATAGTTGCCATACAAATTGATCAATCAAAATTAGGAAAAATATCTTTTTATAACCTTTTAAGCGATGAGAACTGCAACTGTGAAGAGTATTATAGCTTCGGTGCACGAGGTTAACATTTTTTCTTGTTTTTTTTTTGTTTTGTGATTTTTCTAGAAAATAGTTTAATTATGCAAATCGGGTATGTAAGTAAACACTTTGGACATCGTAATTTATTAAAATACAGATAATATCATGCAACGAATGTAAATTATAAATTCATTCTTAAACGAATAAAGCAATAGCAAAATGTTATAAGGAATATTATTTCAAATAAATTAAACCGTTGTTTCAATACAATATTTGTGAAGTTCGTGAGAGTAAATCATATTATAACATTTATTAAAGAATTGAAGGAATACGCCTCGAGTCAGTTATATTTTACAATTTTGTATTCATCTTATCATGATAATCTGTATTACATTTCCATAATTACGCCGTTAATTGTTTTTTTTTTTTTAAGCAATCTGTCAGTCATAGGAAATCAACAAATTTTTTATATTTACACTGATTGAATTTAGAGTCATATACATACTTACAACTAAATTAAGGACTACCTTAAAATACACAATTACGATTACACTAATATTTAGCCGAGTCACCATTAAAAATTGCTAGAAGAATTTTAAATGTTTTTCTATTGCAAATTTTGATGTTGAAAAGTACGAGCAATACTCTTCGTTTAATAGCTTTATTTTGCATAAAGTATATTGACATAAAACTCCTTCCAATCCTGTTCCAAATGT